GAGTGTATCGGCTTCCTTTCTATAAATGCTAGCTAGTATCTAACCACCCACCATCTTTTTTTCCTTTTATTCTAGTCTAGCATGACCAACTCACCTTGTTCGTTTTCTAACTTTATATGTGTAAAAACCTGAGGGATATGTTCAGATTTCAACACAGTGATGGAATGTGCCATCTACCATAACCTAGGAGCAGCAGGTTCTAAGAGCCTTATGTTCCCAACTATTCATAAATATATCTGCACCTATTGGGAATCCCATTTCCTTGTTTATAAAGTTTATTTTTTATTTAAACGCAGAAAAATCTTGGTACAAATATGGAACCAAGAAAGATGCGTCACACAGTTTTATTTCATTTTTTGTGTGAAGGCTGAGACACTGCCCGGGCGCCCAGACCGAAGCAGGTGGTTTTATTAAGGGACCACCCCCGGAGCCTTTGACTTGGAGTCTAATCCGCCGAGCGATGCTGGGGACATCACTCGTACCAAATTCCCAAGAAACTTCATGAACTCTCCTACAAACAACTCTCACCATGCTACGGCGTTCCCGGTAAGCGACGCGCCCTGTGCTCACCCGGTGGCCAGTGTGAAAAGTAAGCTAGCTGGGAAATTAACACTTAGAAACCAACTATTTGTTGGCTGCTGGAATGTTAGGACGCTGTTGGATCCTGGTAGCCAGTCTATCACCATGCGTTCTTTATATGACTACAAGGTAGACATAGCGTGTCTATCTGAAGTGAGGTTACCCGATCATGGCTCCCGCCGAATAGCCGTTCCTGGAACAGATTCTTCATTCTGGTTGCTTCATAGTGGACCCCAGAATAATTCGGGACAACATGGGGTAGCATTTGCTCTCAGTAACAAAGCCAATAATGCCCTAATATCATTCGAACCGGTCAACTCCAGAGTTGCAGTCGCTAGGTTCAAGGGTTCCCCGCTCGACATTTCTGTTCTCGCTGTCTATGCCCCAACCCTCGACTCTGATGAAAGTATCAAAGACGAATTTTATGACAATCTTCAAGAGGCAATCAACAAAATCCCAAAGCGTGACGTTCTCATAGTAGCCGGCGATTGGAACGCCCGCACTGGCCCTTCAGACGACGCGACAAAACATATACTAGGCAAACACGGTCTCGATCAGCGCTGCCGTAATGGTGATAGACTTTTAGCTTTTTCTGATTACAATCGATTATATATCACCAACACTCGATTTCAACACCCCAGAAAACATCTTCTCACCTGGTATTCGAACGACGGTCGCACTGCACATCAGATCGACTACATCCTAGTGCGCTCACGCTGGATCTCCTCGGTGGAAGACTGTCGATCCTATCGTGGAGCAGAGGCCGGAAATAAAGGGGGATCAGACCATACTCTAGTTAGGGCGAAATTCAAACTTCGTTTAACGACACGCCAGAAGGCGCGACCTCCGAAGCGTATCAATGTTGCCCCGCTTCAATGTTCTACAAAGCGACAAGCCTTGTCCAAACAAATCCAGGCCGAACTAAGCGCCGCAGATGAACCAACATCCACATCTTCTAATACACCCGAGACACGATGGAATCATTTCAAAGAAGTAGTCTCTAAAGCTTCAATGTCGCATTTGGGTACCACATCCAAGAAGCAGAAAGACTGGATTTCAGAGCACACCATGCTTCTATCCTCGCAAGCCAGAGACGCTCGCCTAGCAAAGTCTCCAGTTTATCGCTCCCTCAGGCGCAAAGCTACACAGTCTGCTAGGAACGACAGAAATCGCTATTGGTCTAACGTGGCGACTAACATGGAAGCAGCATCAAATGTAGGCGATTTCGGAAAACTTTATCGCCTCATACGCCAATCATCTGGCAAACGCCTTAACAGTCATGCTGTGTTACGCACAGCATCAGGAGAAATTATTTCGGACACCAATGGTAAGATGGAACGATGGGCCGAACACTTCAAGCAGCTACTCAATCGCGACGCTGGTCAACCGTCTCATCGACCGATACGACACTTACCAACACCCTACGTAGTTGACTGCGATCCACCCACTCCAACCGAAATAGCTAAAACAATTAACAGACTCAGAAACAAAAAAGCTCCGGGCGAAGATGGTCTACCCCCAGAAATATACAAGGCCTGCACTCCAGCGCTAATCGATGCACTGCACTCGCTGTTCTGCTCAATTTGGGAGTCCGAAACCATTCCTTCCGATTGGAGCACCTCAGTTCTGCTACCGTTCCACAAAAAGGGAGACAGGTCAATATGCGAGAACTACCGAGGCATAAGTCTGATTGATATCGCTGCTAAGGTTTTTGTTTCCATTCTCCTGAACCGCTTCGCGGCCGAACGCCACGTGCGAACAAGGCCAAATCAAGCCGGATTTCGACCTGGAAGAGGCTGTGTTGATCAATTATTCACACTGCGAAGAATTTTGGAACACAGGGACAAATTCCAACAGCCGACGGTTGCTTGCTTCATCGACTTCCAAGCGGCATTCGACTCAGTTGATCGAGGAGCACTCTGGTATCTAATGGAGCTCGACGGAGTTCCGACCAAGCTAATCAACCTGCTCAGGTCATACTACTCCAACACCAAAGCTCGAGTCCGAGTGAACGGTGAAGAGTCCCGCACTTTTGAGGTAACCAGCGGTGTCCGGCAAGGTTGTCCAGCATCCCCCATCCTGTTCAATTTCACAATTGATTGGATTTTGCGGCACGCCCTAACCGAGCACCACGGCGTCCAACTTTCGCCCGATATTCACATAACCGACCTCGAATTCGCCGACGACGTCGTGCTGTTAGCTGAAAACTTCCCCGATATGCAACAGGCGCTCGACCAGATAAACCACCTCGCGCCTACTATCGGTTTGAAAATTAACACTTCCAAAACCAAAATGTTTTCGAACACATCCACCAGCAATGATGAAATCTTATCCTAAATGGAGCACCTATTGAAATTGTGCCATCCTTCAGATATCTGGGATCCATAATGCTCCCCAACGGCCAAGCGAAAAACGAAGTGAATGCGCGAATCTCCAACGCCCGGAATGCGTTTCTACAGCTGAGGAGCGTTCTATGGAGCAAGAGAGAAATCAGTCTCAGGACTAAAATTCGGGTCTACCAAGCTTCCATACGACCCGTTCTCCTGTATGGCTGTGAAACCTGGCCTCTTCGCGCGGAAGATTTACGCAGACTCGAGGTATTAGACCATTGGTGTCTCAGGTACATTCTGCATGTTCGTTGGCAGGACAAACTCTCCAACGAAGAAGTGCGTCGTCGTTGCTACAACATCAACCAAATTCCAGTACTGGTCCAACAACGCCGCCTTCGGTGGTTTGGCCATGTTCTGCGCCGACCAGATGACGATCTGGTCAAATCAGTTCTAAATCCCTCGCCATTACCATCTTGGCGATGTCGCAGGGGCGGACAGCTGAAGACATGGCTTGGTACAGTCAAGGCAGATATGGAGTGCCTGGGGCTACAAACCGTCTACGGACTCCGTATGTGGAACAAGAATTGGATATCCCTATCGCAAAACCTTGCTTCAGATCGCCGCGCCTGGGCAGCGATGATTCGAGACGTTCATGAAGCCGGCTCAACCTCCCGTAGGAGATAGCCGAAGTAAAGTAGGTAAGTAGTCTAATCCGCAAGGCAGCGGAGCAGTGTCAGGAGCTGCATTCCATGGTTGCCGGTGACCCCATATGGGTTCATACGCCATCTGATCCGATTGGATTCTGGAGTCCATGTACCCCATGATAACTGCTTTTAGTTTAACCGCTATCCAAACAACCTTCCTGACATGGTAGGACCCGCAGAGACATGAGCTCCAGCCAGTTTAGCTTGTCGGGACATTGCGGTATTCAAGCCCGACCACTACGACCAGGTGGTAGCAGTTGTCGACCGGGATAGTTTATTTGGGAATTTGAATAAAGTCGAGGTTAGACAACATAACTGGACACCTAATGTGATTTCATCAACCGACAGCACATCTTAGTCCTTCTTCTGAGTTCAGGATCAATGTTCATTTCATTACTAATTGCCTCCAGAGTTGTACTCAATCTTTTTTAGACAACACATTTTCACCCCTCTCCACCACCCCCTTCTCACCTAGTTATATACATATATATGACCAGTAGGGTAGAGCAGGTTGAAGATGAGGCAGTAACTCATCGAAGAAGACATCGCGGAATCGTCGCCCTATGTCATGAATCGGCAGAAGTTAGAATTCATAGGCTGGCCATTAAATCGGGTCCCAGTGACTCAATGGTCTATGAGCTAGCTCATCTTGTAACCAGAAGGTCCTAGGTTCGAACCCCGGTGGCGGCGGGTGCGTACTGCTGGATAGTCCCAAACTAGGATGGAACAGCTCTCCAGTTTTCTGACTGATATCAAGCCCATGATGAAATCCTTCATCCAATCAAATAAAATCTCTACAAAACCAATACTTGCACAGCTAAGTGATGAATGAATTCACCGCCGAAACGATACTCTTCGCTGAACCACGTGTTTTGTTTTCACTAACGTCTAGATGGGGAGGGGGCGTGGGATTATTCATGTTCACAGTTTGTTATCCTGCAAAATACTACACGCGCACTACACACATGATCTCTCGCCTACTACGGTCTACATTGGAAGCAACGAAAAAAACAAACAAACAAACAAACAAAAAACAAATGACTCATGGATATTGTGAGAATCCTTAAATGCTAACATTGTATTCAAAAAAATTTTTCTTACACTAGACAAAATGCCCAAATGCGTGTATGTGTAAGATAAAATGCAAAATCAGAAGGGTGTACATAATAACTTTGAATAACAAAAATGGTGACAGCAGAAAGAGAGAGAGAGAGAAAGAAAGACGGGGGTGGAAAAATAAACAAAACGGTTATGAAAAAAAATATCTTTAAAAAGGCCTATGTCTAGTCATCAATGTCAGTCGCAGCAGATCATGTTCCTCCTTCATTTGTACTAACAGTTTATTCATTTGATCAAGTTTACATTCAAGTTGAGCAAATTTGTACAGTTATTCATTATGAGACCAGTTTAAATCAGACATCATAGATGATAAGCGACTATCAAGATGCTTACTTAATGCTTCAATTGGTATATGTGGTGAATCCGCAGTTGTATGTTCAGTTTCTTCTAGTTTCTCTGTATCAACGATACTAGAATGACGACTAGATGTATCACTGCTTATCAGTAAACTTTGACCTAACAATGATCGACTTGAATTATCAATATTGGTGAGTGAGTTTGATTCTGGTTGATCGAATTCATGCAGTATTTCTGCCCATCTTGTTTGTGATTTGGACTGTTCTGTTTCTCCCGTTGTTTCTGTCATTGTTGTTGTTGCCATTGTATTACTTAATTCGCTTAATGCCTGACGAATTTGACTATTATTACATGTTAGATGAGTACTATTCATTGATTCACTGTTAGAATTCTCATCGGTGATTTGAGAAGAAGTTGATAAATTGGATAATACCGCCTCCTTTGATGTAAATGAATCCCTAAAGGAAGTAATAAAGGATAGAAAATAAAAAAACAATACTCAAATTACTGATAATGAATACGTTAAATCAATAGTTCTACCAAATTCTAATTAAGTGCAAACGGTATAAGTGTGCAAAAGTATCTTCGATTCTTGTTGATAAAAAAAGCAAACATCTTAAAATACTAACAAATTGGCTGAAGAGGTAGGCCGGCAACAAAAACAGAACTCGAAGTGAACATAGAGAAGATGGAGGTGATGAAGACAACCAATGGACCGCACCAATCACTATCAACGGGAGAGCCTTAACAGAAGTTACCTCCTTTACTTATCTAGGCAGCCAGCATTGTTTCAACTACAGGCGGAACGGATAAAGATGTCAAAGCCAGCTAGCCAGTCAGTCAGATTCGGAAAGGCAAGATACGCGTACATCAACCTGAAACCAGTTTGGGAATCTTCTGCTCCACTCAGCATAAGGAACAAGATTCGCATCTTCAACACCAATGTCAAGTCGGTCCGTCTATACGGGTCAGGGTCATTATTAGCATTAGAGTTAGGTTTACGGTTAGGGTCAGCGTTAAGTTTTGAGTTAGGGTGAGGATTAAGGTCAGGATTACTTTTAGAGACAGATTTCATGTTGATACCATTTATTTTAATTTGTTTTATCCACATTTTCCAGGTAAGTAGTCGTTAGTCCTCTTATTGGAAACCACAGTAATTCAACCGAGGTCTTATGGGTAAATTCGATATATATATATATATATATTCCGGTTCAGAATGCAATGCAACACACACACATACACACCAAAACAATTATTTTCTTACCTGACGCTCACACTAACAAGACATCTATTTAAGTTTCTTAACATAAGCCTTACCACCACATCATGTAGCATCAGCTCCGGTGGCACCAAAAGAAAACGGTATACGTCCTGTCAACGTCGACTAAGATGTCGTATTATAATCCCCAACTAAGTAATGGAAAGCCCACATAGCTGCTCAATTGACCAGTTCCTTCAGGCTATTCCTTACAGAAGGGGCATTACCGATTGACTGGGGGAATGCAATAGTCACCCATACTTACAAGAAAAGATTTAGACACTGTCCCTTAAAATACAGACCTACTATACTCTCAGAAGCATTTTAATTAAGACAGTGGAAGGGATAATCAGGAAAGTAATCACAGCTAATTTAGAAACAACTTTTTATCCAACGCATAACAGAGCTTTTCGGTAAGAGTTATCTTTAACATCTGACACACTTAACACCAAGGAATTGATAAGTGAAGTCCGCGGATAACAAAAAACTCATGACCATCTTTATAGAATGTAGAACGTTTTTGAAAAAGTGCTTCGTACAAGATTGCTTATGAAACTGGAACTTTTCAGCAACCCCATATCTTGAGTCTAACTTACACTTCAGTGAGGTGGAATTTGAAGTCACAAATGTTTTCCAAAATGATAACTTGACTGGAAAAACCATGCAGAACATTGCACATATGTGCTACAACTCAATTCACCACTATTCACAAGAGAAGATAGGAAAAGGCAACAGAGGTATTGTGATACTAGGATGTGAAATAAATTTCAAACATAACTGAGGTCTCAGTTGTCATCAGAGGAAGACAACACTATGCACCAAGTCATCTACCACACCTACAAACAACTAGCAATATGAGCAAGGCACAGACCTAAGAGACACCATGCCAGTCAGTAACTCTTAATATCTAGCCATCAATCAACCACGTCCAGTATTCAATAAGCAGGTTTTGCACCATGTATGTCTAATCTTTAGTGGGTTGAAAACCATGGACACACAGGTGAAGTTACACTGATCCCAGATTGAAATTTGGAGGAAATGCAATGACTGCCTCCGAAAATCCCAAACCCTACCTCATATGAAGCAGACACTTAAGGCCCGTTAAAAAATAAATTATAAGCATAGTATGTGTGGTTACCAGGAAAACTCGCACTGCTCCAGATAATAAAATCCCCACCTTTTTAGTTACTTTACAAAAATATCTAAATACACACACGTAACATTAGCCAGATTTCAAATTTATTGGTTGACGATAGAACGCTTGAAACCTATGTTAATCCTTTTCCAGTAAATTTCTGTGGTTGTCCAAACCCCTCTTGAACGAATCAGTTGAGGTTGCAGACACTACTTCTTCTGGGAGTCGGTTCCAAGAGTTTATGACTAGGTGTGAGAACCAGTACTCAACAGCAATATGATTTCCTCTTGGCTTTTGAACTCTCCTGCTATGTCCTCTAAGGTTTTCGGACCTGATGGGAAGGAAAAGAGAGAATAGGTCAGGTCCGTAGTCATTGTTTGAAACTTTAAACATTGTGATTAAATCCACTCTCTGCCCACGGTATGACAGAGAGAAGAGATTTAAACTGTCTAGTCTTTCCTCGTATGATAAGTTAGTCATCCCGTGAACCATACGTGTTGCTTTCCTTTGAGCACTTTCTAAGATGTGAGTCCCCGCTTACACAAGGACTGGAGGTCTAAATAGAGTTCTCCAGTCTTGACCTCACCAGAGGTGTATATAAGGAGGTGGACATATCTCTGGTGATTCTAGCCGCATCACATAGCTTGTATTTTCAGTAAGAAAAGCATTACACATTTATATTGCATTATGAAACTGATTAGCTCAAATAATTGCTATAAGATTTTACTATTCTTAATACATTAATCAAAATACTTACATAGGGGTCCTGGTAGCCAGATGCATCTATAACACACAGACCACAGTCACAAATAACCAAAGAAGAAGACAAAGACGGCGAGGAAGAGACTTGAATTAACCGGGTTACAAGCTAATTATCATCGTTTATAACAAGTCTAGATAGCCGGTCTTCCTCTTGTTCCAGTGATGCCACGTCAACGTTTCTGTCTGAAAAAGAAGAAAGAGAAACTTGTTTAGTGGCATTATAGTGGTTTCTATTGCATTACACATCGACCGTACGCCGTTTTAGCGCAACTAGCATGCACCTTTGAACACTGGCTGAGTTGCCCGCGATTGGCCAGGTTGACATTATATTCGAACTTACAACAGCGGCACTTCTGAGTTCCAGTTACCCTATACTTTCGGCTTATTTCGTATATATACTGAAATAATTGAATTCCAATACTTAATAGCCAAGTTATTTATTTCTTATATATTCCAATTTCGTTTTTACTAGCTAGTGTGCAGACGCACACCTGATATCTAAGGTTGGCCTGCGAAATTTGGGCTACCGATATCCATGCTGAAAATGCCATACTTGTACCAAAAATACGATGTGGAATCGAGCTGTGAATCAAAAATAAAAAAATAAAAAATGTCTCAAATACCGGAGAAATGGACGAGGATGTCAAATCGAGAATCGAATCGGGAAGGCGAGAAACACATTCATCAACCTGAAATCAATCTGGACATCTTCATCACTCAGCATCAACAACAAAATTCGGTCGGATTTTCAATACAAACGTCAAGTCAGTCAGCTCTTCTATACGGATCAGAAACTTGGCGAGCGGGTGACAAAGAATATTTCCAACAGCCTGTTGCAGACCTTCATCAACCAACAACTGTCTTCGCTGGTTCCATACTGAAGATCAGATGGCCGGACCGGAAAGAATCACCAACAAGAAACTATGGGAAAAAACAAAACAAGAACCAATCGCCAACCAAGAAATATGCAGGAGAAAGTGGAGATGGATCGGACACTCTCTGAGGAGACCGCTGGGTGACATCGCGCGTCAAGCCCTCGAGTGGAACCCGAGAGGGAAGCGGCGTGTGGGACGTCAGTGCAAGGGTGACATGGAGGAGATCGTGTGAAGAGGAGTTGAAACAGTATGGACTAACATGGATGCAGGTGAAAAGCACAGCAGAAGACAGAAGCAAGTGGAGACGTTCAGTTGAAGCCCTATGTTCCACTAGGAACTCAATGGAGCAGTAATATATACATATATTTATGTGCCTAATATCGACAACAATATTAAGTGTAAGTTTAGTTGTTCGAGCAGTCAGGTGAGTAAGACAGAGGGAATATGAAGAAGTAAAACAATGAGTTCAGATATCTACCGATTAATAGTGCACAGGATTTTAAGGGGACAAGCCGTTTGGACGCAGTTTGTTCTGGAGACCCATCACACTTTTTGTCGCCCGTCTTTGGACTCTTTCCAAGAGGTTGGCGTCTCTTCTAAGCAATCGGGGTGCAATCATATTGTGCACTTCAAGGTACGGTCTGATGTATGTTTCGTACAACCTCAGAGAGAGCTCAGGAGTGAGTGCACCTGACTGTCCATGACCTCATATGCCCTCGCTACATGCCCGTGTAATTCACACTCGTGTCAGTTTTTTCCCTTAGAACTAAGCCTAAGTCACGTTGTGCAGGACAAGCTTTCATTGAACGGGGTGTAACTTGCATTCTGTGGCCTACAGGTGCGCAATTTCACTACTTCGCACTTTTTCAAGTTGAAAGTCATACCGTTGGCCATCGCCTAGTCTTCCAGAAGTTCAGGTCTACCTGCAGACTATCTGAGTCCTCCGAACACTTTACTGCTCTCCAACTGTTAACGTGTTCAGCGTAGAGAAGAGTTAGGCAAATTTGACGGCATGGTAGATCATTGATAAAAATCAAAAGCATCAGTGGCCCTAGGATAGTTTCCTGCGACACTCCTGATGACGGGCTGTGCCAGGGTGATCGAACTCGATTGATCTTGGCTCAGAATTTCCCTTCATCTAGGTAGACCTTCAACCATGACAGGAGCGACTCACCTTTACCTGCCTGGCTTATTTTGTGCAGGAGAAGGTGATGGTGAACTGAGTCAAATGCCTTCTCAAAGTCTAGGTAAATCATATGGTGTCATTGCAGTTCAAGATTGAACGATCAATTCATGGTTGTGTGCTCAAAACCAACTTCCCCAATTTTCGCGGAGGCATCAACGTCTGATCGGTCGCTGTTCAGAAAGAAGTCAGCAGTAAACCATCAGAAGAAATATTGTGATTTATTATTGTAATATTTGTTCACGGAACTCAGTTAATACATTATTTTTAAATGTTGGTGTAACAATTAGGAATCCTCAAGTCACCAATTGGTCTTTTGGTTTTTCGTCCCTTCTTACTAAGCGTTTCTGAGAAACTTCAAGCAACAGCGTGGGCCCGAGCGTAGCATGAATGAAGTATGTGGATATTTGACCATTTACAATGACAAATGATCTACAAACATTATTGGTCCAGTATCTTTCAGTTGCCTAGTTAATAACGAATTAACCTTCCCCACGACGCAACCTGGATTTCATTTGTGGAATATACTCCTTTACCAATGGAAAAGTATCAATTTGTAATACAAAGTCACGATTCTTTCTTATTACCCAATTTGGATATAAATCAAAAATGAGATTCGGACTTGTACACACCTAAGTTACATTGTGGAATTACTTCAAGCTTTATTTTTTCCCAAGTATTTTTAATCCATCCAAAACATGCTTGGGTTTTTTTTCTTAATGCAAAGACAATATTTCTATATTTCTTGATGTGCTCCATTGAATGACTGGTTATCATATTGTTTAAACAAACCAAAGACAAAAACGTCAGCAACCATGTAATTTAACCATAAACCGAATTTATGGAATTTACATAATGCTTATCCATGCCTGTACATTTGGTGTGTCCTACACAGGTAGGAAAAAATATGTATTTTATTAAAATATTATTATTGAGTATGATTGCTAATCGTATATGCAATTTAACATATCTAATTTATCATATTGATGATGCCTGTAAACTGGCGTCCTTCATGTAAAAAATAAGAATATACTATTATTATTAACACAAAAGTGACAGGAGGTCATATCAGGCCAAACATGCCAAAAGTAGGTGTCAATGTAGACGAAGATTGAACGATCAATTCATGGTTGTTTGCTCAAACCCAACTTCCCTATATTTTCGCGGAGGCATCAATACACCAGTCATCGTCTCATCGATCGCTGTTCAGAAAGAAGTCAGGCCAAATACCGTCAGAAGTAATATTGTGATTTATCATTGTAATATTTGTTCATAGACCTTAGCTGTAACATTGATTATACGTTGGTGTTAGAATAAATGATTGTCGAGTTGCCAATCGGTGTTTTGGTTTTGTGTCCGTTAATACTAAGAGTTTCTGAGAAACTTAAATCAACATCGTGAATGCCAGCGTAGCAAGAGCTGGGTATTTACGGTTTACGAGACGTGGCTGACAGTTTCTGGTGGTAGAAACAGATTCTGGCGGATTCAGACAGTTGGTGAAAGTTTGGATAGTCACCGTTCATCTTTCTTGGTGCCGGTCAAGTCTTCTTTGAACAAGCAATATCTGGAACATTTTTGGAATTGGGTCAAGTTCAACAATGTCTGGGTCAAAGAAGAGACAGAGTGTCTTGGATGCAAACAGGAAAGTAAGTCATGGTGACTTGTCTGTTACTTGTAACGATGTGTCTGATGTTAAGCATGACATGGTTGATGTTACCGTTTCGCCGTTCAGGGATAATAGGAACATCAAACTCCCTAAATTTGAACCACGGTGTTTCGATGGAAACCCGGCTGATTATTTACAATTTGTAAAGGAGATTGAGATCATGTTGAGCGGTATTTTATTAAATGATGAAATGAAGTTAATGTATTTGATGAGATATTGCACTGGAGATGCTTCAAGAGCTATACAGTGCTGTAAGTTTATGAAGCCAAAAGAGGGCTACTACGAGGCTGTGAGCATATTACGTAAAAGGTTTGGAAGACCTTCGATGATTGTAGGGAAATTATTCGAGGCTGTTAAAGGTAATGGTGGTCAATTACGGGATGACTCCCAGGCACTCACTGAGTTTTTAGATAATCTTATGACTTATAAGAATACTTTGATTTCTATGAATTGCATGAGTGACCTCAACTCAAGTTTTATACTAGAAGTAATAGCAAGACGCCTACCTACTCGACTGCAAAGGAAGTGGGTGAAGATAAGCTCCCGTATGGAGGATGAGGGTATCGAGCCAAAGCTTGATGATATCCTGAAACCAGTAAAAGATAGCGTCAATCTATCTATGAGCAAGTTCGCCAGTCTATTACATCCCACCCCTGGAATAGAGCAGTCTGAGAGCAAAATGCAATCATTGATGACGAAAGGGTCTCAGAGAGGTGGATATCGAGAAGGCTCCATGATGTCTAGTAATGCATATAGACCTAGTGAGTGTAACAGGTTTCGTAGTACATCGTCAACAGATAAGTTACAAGATGCAAGACAAACACGGTTGTGTTTTACACGTTTGCAAGAGGTGCATACAGAAGTGAACTGTGAACCAGTGAGCAAGTTCAGTGATAAGCTAAATGTAAACTCCAGGCCTGACTCCGAATTGTGTGACGATAACGGTGCGGCCAAGAAGTCTGTAGTTGCAACTGGTAAGCCATTGTTGAATAGAGTGTCACAGAATGGAGTTACTGCTTCAGAGTCCAGTTCTAACTCCGCAAGTTTACAAGGTATTACTAGTCAGAGTGAAGGTATAAAATCTTTAGGGATTTGTGAGGAAGAACTCAAATCATCCACTGCTGTTATCAAAGAGTTTGAAAATGATGAAGTCGACCAGATAGATGATGGTAAATTGAATATTTGTGATAATGATCGCGATAGTGTAGATTTGTCTTTGGTTGTTCATGATGAAATGAGGGGAATGCCTACTACTGCTAAGTTGAATAGAGGTTCTGTACAGCTACAACGTGAAGTA